ATCCAATCTTTTTTGTGTGTAGGGAGAGGAGGTAATTAGGTTTACTTATTTATTTATTTTCAGAGGAGGTACTGGGAATTGAACCCAGGACCTTGTGTATGCTAAGCATGTGCTCTACCATTTGAGTTATACCCTCCCCCACCCCTATGTCTTTTGATTGGAGCATTTAGTACCATGAAATTTAAAATGACTATTGATAATTATGTACTTATTGTCATTTTGTTACTTGTTTTCTGCTTATTTTTGTAATTCTTCTTTGTTCCCTTTTTCTTTTTGTTTCTTCCTTTGTGGTTTGATGATTTTCTTTAATAGTAGACTGCTGTTCTTTTATTTTTAGTTTTTGTGTATCTATCATAGGTTTTTAATTTGACCAAGTAGTATGCCACACACACACATACACACAAATATGTACATATATCTGTGTTATCCTGGTTACTATGGTAACAAAATGACAATAAGTACATACAATTTTTGTAACTTATCACTAGACTGTAAACATATACAAGCACAGAAATAACCTTAAATTTGGTACTAGATATTTAACAAGATTCAACAGTAAGTCGTAAAGAGATGTTTTCTGACCTCCACTACAGTTTTGCAGGTGGCAGAATATTTCATGGGTTCATTAGTCAAGCAGTTTAGCTCTCCTATTATTGCCCCACTGATCACAAAATCTGTGTAAGTTATCTGGTAATCTTTCTCCTCTGACTCCCAGATTATTTGGTCAATTCCCAAACCTGGCTTTGACCTTTGAAGCTGTTCAGTGACAAAGAAAGAAAAAAAATACATACACCAGTTAATTTATCAAAACTATCTGATTTATGGCATTTTCTCCTTTGGTCTTAACAATTTTAATATTGACATACTGTTTTGAGAACATGTATTACTCATACCTTTTAAGGTATATTGATTAAATTAGCAATGACTTAGAAACAAAGCACTCTTAAATACTCTGAGCTTTCTGGTTCCACCTACTCAGTCAGCCTATACCTGCCTCAGAATGGCTAAATGCTCAACTCAAACATAAGGTAAATAACAATTTATATTATAATTTTCCATCTTAATGATGATCCTTTTAAGGTTTCTTGTTATCTACAGGAAGGTATGGCTTAAAAGGTAGTGGGTGGTGTTATCCATTATGTCTGAGGAAGAAAACTGTTGTTTGGATGGTAGCCGCTGTCCTAAAAAAGGAACAATGGAGTTCTTAACATTGCAAGGTATTTTTCTCAATCATATGATGTTTTTAACTAACGCTCACAAGTGCATTTATAAATAACTCTGCCTTACCTTCACCATGCCTGAAATAATTATATAAATTCCTTGGGGCTCATCATCTTCTTCAAATATATTATTTCCACAGTCATATGTTACAATTCTGGCTCTTTCCTACAAATATCACCAAATACATAAGCTACAAATATTTTAGCAATGGTTGGAGTTCACATTTTAATAAAAGTTTTACACTTTTAAATACTACTCAAGAAGATCTGAGATACTGTGTTAGCAATAAATTTGTAATAGAAGATAGGAATTGTGGCTAATAAAGAGAAGAAGGTGGATATTCATGGGTATGTACAATTTCAGATGGGGTATTTATACATAGATTAGGAAACAGTCTAATCTATGAATAAGAATGTAATGGAAGGATGAAAATATTTCATTTGGATGAAAAATAATTAGGACAGATGCAAGCTAATGGTACATATATGTATTATACATACCCATGTTCTGAACTGATGAAGTAAATAAAAAATTTATTCATTCAAAATATTTTAAGCAGGGGAAAAATATAATCGTTCTTTTGGTACTAGCTAGATATAGAAAAAGATGTTATTATAACAGGTGAGACCCATTTATTTGTTCACCCCCTAAAGCTTATTGAGTACCCACTATGTGAGATGCAACATTGTAGGGGCTGAGTATTCAAAAGCTGAAAGAGGTGAAAAATAGAGTAGGGGAGAGAGACATGAAGATAATAATTGTAATGTAATGTAATTATGCTATAATAAAGGTATATATGGAGACAATGGTGACACCTTTAGTCCTCCAAACTCAGGATGGACCACAGGATGGTCTTCTACTGGTGCGGAGTTTGACTCCAAAGCCTGCTTTTCTGAGTAGCTTTGCTGGGGATGTTTCCAGAGAAGGAATAGCAGAGAAAGTTTTGGGGGAAAAAAAGTGAAAGCAAAGGGCACTTCAAGATAAGTAAGCAGCACTCCCAGAGGAATGGACTTAGAAAACAGTATATAGTGCCTGGGGCACCATGAGTGGTTTAGTGTAAATAGAGTATGGGGCATATGACATATGGGCGACAGAAGGTAAAGATGGAGGGGTAGGAGGAGGCAGATTGTGGGAGAACTTGGCATGCCATTCAAAGAGATTTTGATTTCATCCTATAGGCAATAAAGGATATTTAAAGAATTTAAAAGTGAAGAATATTGTGATTAAATCTTTATTTTTAAAAAGATCATTTGTTGGTACATTAAAGATGGTATTACTAAGAAGTAAAAATGTTACCTGAATAAAGCTTATGTAGTCTTCGTCTTTATCTAGCCATGGAACATGATGAAGTACCTCATCAACAGTAATCGGTTTGTATATAGGTTGAAGATCAAGTATCTCTCTTTTTCTGGCTGTTATTAACTAAAACCACAAAATTTAAGAAAGGAGATGAAGAAAACCGGTGTTCACAGAATGTTTAAAGTAATTATGGCTTTGTACTATTTCTTCTCCTTGTTCTTCTGAGATTTTTGTTATTCATGGAAACCTCTCACCTCTTCCGTTACAACATTTTCCTGTTATCATTATTCTGAACTTTTAGAAGTAAACCTTTTTACCAAAGTATAGGAAATATACAAAAGAGTGCACAAATCATAAATGTCCACTGAAGGAACATTTACAACATGAAAACATCGCCCAGATGTAACCAGTGCTAGGATTAAAAAATAAAAATTTATAGCACCCTAGAATCCTCCCTTATGTTCTCTTCTAATCATTACTTCTACCCCAACTTAATCACTCTTCTATTACCACACTTCAGCTTTGTGTGGTTTTGAGCTTTATCTGCATGAAATCAAAGAGTATGTACTTACCTGTGTTTGGTTTCATTTGCTCAACATTATGTTTCTGAGATTCATCTATGATGTTGCAAGGAGCAAATATTCATTCATTTCATTTTCACTGTTGTTTAGTATTATGTTTTATGAATACTCTACAGTTTTATTTATCTGTTGTGGATTGAGATTGGGTTGCTCTAGTTTTGGAATTTTGTAATGCTGCTGGAAGTATTTGCTGTACATATGTACACATTTCTGTTGTATATATGGTTATATAATCTAATTTCTGGGTCTTAAGATATGTATGTGTTCAAGTTTAGTAGAGTCTGCCAAACAATTTTCCCAAAGTAATTGCATCAATTTATACTCCCATTCTAATAATGTTCCATGTGTTCCACATCATTGTCTACACTTGGCATTGTCTGTTTGTTTGTTTTTTTTAAATTTAGGTATTATGGTGGTTGTGTATTTGTATTTTCATTTTGGGTTTAATTTGCATTAAGCTTTTGACAATGATATTGGCACCTTTTCTTACATTTATTGGCTATTAGAATATCCTCTGTTGTGAAGTGCCTGCTCAAGTCTTTTGCTGATTTTTAAAAAAATGAATTTTCTGTCTTGTTCTTATTGATTTATAAGAGATATTTACATATTCTGGACATGAGAACTTTGTTGGATATATTTATTTTGACAATATTCTCTACCTTTTTGTGGATTGTCTTTTCATTACCTTAATTTTCTAATAAAAAGAAATGATCAATTTTAATGTTATTTAAATCCACTTTTCTGTTCTGTTTAAGAAATCTTTGCTTAAGCCTATTATAAAAATTTTTATTTTATCGTCTAGAAGCTTATTGTTTTAATTAGGTCTATTTATGTTCTATTTATTATTGTATTATTTAATTATTTTTTATTTTGGTGGGGGGAGGTAACTAGGTTTATTTATTTTTAAGAGAGGTACTAGGGATTGAACCCAGGACCTCATGCATGCTAAGTAAGCGCTCTACCACTTGAGCTATATCCTCCCCTCTAGAAGCTCATTGTTTTACCTTTATAGTTATATACTATCCATCTGGTGTGTGGTGTAAGAGTCCAGATTCACAAATAAGATAGGTGTAAATACTCTTAACATGGAAAAAATAAACTATTGAGGCAAAATTAAAACCTAATAAAGTGAAGAGCTATGTTAATAGATTGGATGAATATCACAAAGATGTCAATTTTCTCTAAATCAATGTACAGGCTTACTGGAATCCCATCAGAAATTTCAGGAGGTTATGAGTAGAAACTGACAAGATGACTCTAAAATTTATTTGAAAATACAAAATGCCAAAACTAGTCAAAATAATCTTGAACAAAGAATAAACACCAAAGCTGGAAGATATACACAGTGAGATATGAAGATTTATTATTAAGTTTCAGTATAAGACAGTATGATATACATTGAAAAAGTTTCAATGATAGATAAGTAGAAGAATGAAACAAAGAGAGTCCAGAAACTCATCAGCATATACACAGTCACTTTATGACAATGGCTCCACTGTGGTGTAAGGGGGTAGGATGACCTTTTCTATTCTCCCTTATGGAGAGGGTGTGGAGAACAAGGAACCCTCCTACACTGTTGATGAGAATGTAGATTGTTGCAGCCACTATGGAGAATAGTATGGAGATTCATTAAAGCACTAAAAATAGAGTTACCACATGATCCAGCAATTCCTCTCCTGAGCATATATCCAGAGAAAACTCCAATTCGAAAAGATACATGCACCCCAATGTTCATAGCAGCACTATTTACAATAGCCAAGATATGGAAGCAACCTAAATGTCCATCGACAGATGAATGGATAAAGAAGATGTATATATACAATGGAATACTACTCAGACATAAAAAAGAATGAAATAATGCCATTTGCAACAACATGGATGGACCTAGAGATTATCATATGAAGTTAGAGAAAGATAAACATCATATGATATCACTTATATATGGAATCTAAGAAAAAAATGATACAAATGGACTTATTTACACAATAGAAATAGACTAACAGACATAGAAAACGACCTTATGGTTACCCAAAGGGAAAGTAAGAGGGTGGGGAAGGAGTAAATTAGGAGCTTGGGATTGACACATACACACTACTATATATAAAATGAGATAAACAACCAGTTCCCAGGCTATATAGTTTCTGTATAGCCTAGGAACTATATTCACTATCTTGTAATGTATAATGGAGAAGAATATGAAATATATATATAGCACTGAATCAATCTTTGCTGTACACCTGAAACTAACACATTGTAAATCAAATATACTTCAATTTAAAAAAAATCAAAGTTGATGATATTATACATATTGTTTTATAAATTACTTCTTCCCTACTAACAATATATCTTGGTGAATTTTTTTGTGTCAGTACATACAGATTTTTCTTATGTAATATTATTTTGTACACAATGTTCATTTGTGTGGATTATCACAATTTACATAATCATTCCAATTTGATGGTCATACTAGGTCGTTCCTAGTATATGGTTGAACATATATCTTTGTTTACATTTGAATATTTATACATTTATACATGTGTAATTGCTGGTTTTAAAGGTATGTATTTTAAAAATTATCATTTGTTAAATTGCCCTCCAGAATCACTGTATTCATTTGCATTTTTTTCTGCCATATTTAAGTCTGACACTTTCTCATTACCTCATTACCATTGAACATTGTCAGTTTTTTCTGTTATTGCTAATTTCATGGGCAAAATATAGCATCCGTTAATACTTTAGTTTCTTTATCTTTGGTTACTAGAGATATTAAATATCTTTTCAAACACATTGGCAAATTTTCTTCTCACATTGTGAAATGCCTGTTTTGTATTCTTTTCTCATTTTCTATAGCATTCTTTGTCCTTTTCTCATTGTTTTGTGAGAACTTTTTAGGTACTATTGCTATCACTACCGTGTAATTTTTGTTGCAAATACCTTCAAAGCTGTGCCTTGCTTCTTAACTTGTTTGTAAAATATTTCAACATATAAAGTTTTAAATTGTATTCAGTAGTATCTACTAATCTTTCCTCTGTTGGTATCTGGGTTTTGTGAAAGGTTTACCGAAACTTTTCACACATCAGGAATGCAAAGATATTCTTTATATTTGATTATGATATTTGCATAATTTTTCATGTTTAAATCATCGTTATGTCTGGAAGATTTTCCTCCTCTATGTGTTATGAGATACGACCCCAAAGTTGTTTTTTTCCATATGAATCTTGAATGTCTCAGCATCACTTATTGAATTATCTATAACTTTTCCTAATTTACAATACCACCTTACTGTATGCTAGATCACTATGTATATTTAGGTCTGCTACTGAACTTGTCTGTGCCATTTACGTATTATTTTCTAATTCTATTTAATTCCACATTATTTGATTATTATGGATTTATAGCATGTTTTACTATCTAGTAGGGTAACTACTGCCCACTGTTTCTTTTTCCCATTTTTTCACTTCTGATAAAATACACAAAATACAAAATTTACTACCTTAACCATATCTAAGTGTACAGTTCACTGGTATTAAGTACATTCATGTGGTGCAACCATCAGCACTGTGCATTTTCAGAACGCTTTCTACCTTGCAAAACTGAAATTCCTCACCCATTAAACAGTAATTCTCCATTCTCTGCAGCCTCCACCCCCAGCTTCTGGAAATCACCATCTACTTCCTATCTTTAAGATTTTGACTACTCTAAGTACCTCATATAAATGGGATCGTATAGTATATACCTTTTCATAACTGTCTTATTTCACTTAGCAGAGTGTTCTCAAGGTTCATCCATGTTTTAAGTATATGTCAGATTTTTTTCTGCGTTTTTAAGGTTGAATAATATTCCACTGGAAGCCCATACCACATTTTGCTTATCCATTCATCCATCGATGGACACTTGTATTGCTTTCTTGTTTTAGCTATTGTGAACAATGCTGCTATGAACTTGGTGTACAAATTTCTCTTTGAGAGCCTTCTTTCAATTTTTTAATATATATTCTCAGAAGTGGAATTACCAGATCTTATGGTAATTCTATTTTTAATTTTTGAGGAAGGACCACACTGTGTTCCACAGTGGCTGTACCACTTTTCATTCCCACCAGCATAAGGTTTTTTAGTTTTATTTTTGTTTTGGGGGAATCACCATCCTAATTGGTATGAAGATGATATCTCATTGTAGTTTTGATTTGTGTTTCCTTCATGACTAGTGATGTTAAGTATCTTTTTATGTGCTTATCTGTCATTTGTAAATGTTCTTTGGAGAAATATCTATTCATGTTCTTTGCCCACTTTTAATTTAAATTAAGTTGTTTGGTTTTTATTATTGAGTTTTAAGAGTTCTCTGTGTATTCTGGATATTAATTATTTATCAGATACATAATTTGCAACTATTTTCTTTCATTGTGTAGGTTGCCTTTTATTCTGTTGATACTGTCTTTTGATGCACAAGAAGTGAATCATGTGCATTTAAAATGTTTAAAAATTTTCACAAAATGCAATTTGTCTATTATTTTCTTTTGTTGTCTGTGCCTTTGGTGTCATTTCTGAGAAATCATTGCCAAATTCAATGTCATGAAGATATGCCCTATTTTTACTCCTATGAGTTTTAAAATTTTAGGGATTATATTTAGATGATGTATTCATTTTAAATTAATTTTTGTATATGATGTTAGGTAAGGATCCAACTATATTCCTTTGTAGGTAGATATCCAATTTTTTCCATAAACAGCATATAGTTGAATAATATTTTTATCACTTCTGCTACTCTTTGTGTTTTGTTTGGAGAGTTTAATTTATTTACATTTAATTACTGATGAGACAAAATTACTTCTGTCATCTTACTATTTTTTTCTATAAGCCTTATAGCTTTTTTGTCCCTCATTTTCTGCATTACTGTCATATTTGTATTTTGTTGATTTTTTGTAGTGAAACATTTAAATTTCCTTCCTCATTTATTTTTATGTACACTCTTTAGTTATTTTCTTTTTGGTTACCATGAGGATTACATTTGACATCGTAGAATATAACACTTTAATTTGAATTTATATCAATCTAACTTCCATAACTTAGAAAACTCTGCTCCTTTAACAGCTCTATTGCCATCCCTTGTAGTTGATATCATAAAATTATATTTTTATATGTTGTCTGTCTAAAACATAAACTAATAAATTTTAGAATCCATTCATCTCTTAAATTATGTAGAAAACAAAATATGGAGTTATAAGCCAAAGCTATAAGAATTCTAGGTTTTAGACTAATAATTACTTTAAAAATGTATTTGTCTCTCAAATTACATAGAAAACAAAAAGTGGAGTAATACATCATTATTACAGTGATACTAGCTTTAATAATTGCCCATGTGTTTACCTTTACAGAAATTTTTATTTCTTCATATAGATTTTAGTTAATGTCTAGTGTCCTTTCATTTCAATCTGCAAGATGCTTTTTTATCATCTTTCAGGGCAGGTCTAGTGGTTATGAATCTCTCAGCTTTTTTAAAATTTGAGAATGTCTTAATTTATCCCTCACTTCTACAGGACAGCTTTCCTGGATATATGATATTTGGTTGATTTTTTTTTCTTTTAGCTCTTTGAATACATCAGCCCACTTTCTTCTGGTCTCCAAAGTCTCTGATGAGAAATTTCTGATAATCTTATTGAGGATCCCTGGAATGTAATCCATTGCTTTTCTCTTGCTGATTTCAAAATTCTCTCTTTGTCTTTTGGCAGTTTGATTAGAATGTGTCTTTGTGTGGATCTCTTTCAGTTCACCCTACTTGAAATTCATTGAGCATCTTGAATATTGATATTCATGATTTTCATCAAATTTAGAAAGCTTTCAGGCAAATATTTCTTCAGATATCCTCTCTGTTACTTCCTCTTTCTCTTCTCCTTGCAGAGACATCCACAATGAATATGTTGGTCCTCTTGATGATATCCCATAGGTCCCTTAGATTCTCTTCACTTTTCCTTAATTATTTTCTTTTTGTTTCTCAGATACTGTAATTTCCATGGTATTGTTTTAAAGGTGACTGATTCTTTCTTCTGCCTGCTCAAGTATACCTTTTAGTTTTAGCCACAATGTGTTATATATACTTTATATTAGGTTCATACTTAAGGATTTAATGTTTTTAAATGATACGGTGAATATAATATTTTTACATTTTCTTCCATTAGGGAAGAATTTTGAATGTTGATCTTATTGCTGGATATCCCATTGAATTATCTTATTGGTCCTATATTACTAATTTTAAGTTAATTCCCTAGGATTTTAGATTAAACAATCAACAAGTAATAATAGTTTTCCCCCTTTTCCAAAATTTCCATCTCTCAAGTTCCTTTTTCTTCCCCTTCTTGATCTGGCTAAGACCTACAGCACAGCATTCAATACTTGGAATGACACTGTTTATTCTTCTTTTGTTTCTAACATTAATGGAAATACTTCTAAATGTTCTGTCATCTAATACAAAGTTTGCTTCAGATTTTTACTAGATATTCTTTATCCAGTTAAGAATGTCACTTCTTTTATTATCCTCTGAATATTCTGAATGAGAATTGAATTTTATCAAGTGATTTTTCTTCTTTGGTTGCTTAATGAGTGAGTTATATAGCTATTTGGGAGATAAAACCTCCTTAGTCATAGTGTATTATGCTCTCAATATTCTGCCAGATTCAATTAGCTACTATTATGTTAAGAAGTTTTATATATGTATTCACAAGTACAATAGCTTAATGTTTTTTTCTTATGCTATTCCGAATTTGGGGAATAAATTTTGTACTTACAGGGTGAGTTGGGTTCCTCTCTATTTTTTCACATTTAAATAACTTAGAGAAAGGAAATATAACTGATTCTTACCCTATAGTTGAGTGTTCTTATAAATCATGGTTTCTATGCCTCAGGCAATTCCCACAAACATACTGATATCCAGTGTAGCCTAGGATGAGGAATAGTTTCATTATACCTTTAACCTGGGAGCAGAGCATAGAAAGAGGTGGTCCCTTACTGTGGCAGGAAAGGAAAGGGAAGTTGACCACTGGATCTGCAGGAAGGAAACTCTCTCTGGTGAGTGATTTCTTTAGACAATTATTTTAAGTTAGATGTTTATATCTCAAGGATGGCCTATATTGGGAAGAGCCAAAAGTAGGTTTGAAGATCATACTTGACTATATCAAGTAAGTATATTTGCTTTGAAAATATTCTACCTTACCTTATTAATTTCAGAACCTTCAATTTTATGAAGAATTCCTTTTAACCTGAAGACTTTAATAATTTCTCTGGCCAAATTGAGCATGACGTTGATCTCTTCCTTTGTTTTCATAGTGACAGCGATTTCTGGGTGATCGTATTCTAAGTAGCCTAAAAAACCCAAAATATTTTCAGTTGAAATAAGGACATTGTTTAAATATTTCATGTGAACAATAAGCTAATATTTCTGCTCAAATTCATGGAATACAACCTTCATCACAGGGAAATGTATCTCTCCCTGTAGAGACTGCTACAGTCAATCAAAGTTTACCAGTAGTTGCAGAGCTCTGCCTGACATTTTCTTGTCAGCAGCCCACACTTGCTTCTAAGCCCATGAAGAAGCACAGATAGCCACGGTCCTGGGATTAACAATTACACTGATGCACTTGCACTGGACACCGAGAGGCTCTTCAGGGCTCTAGGTCTGGAGACCATGACCCACTTTTCTGTTCTGTTTGAACCAGGATTTCTGACTACAGTTTGTGTCCTTAGATATGGCTTCTGATCAAGTTCTGTCACTCAGCCTGGGTCCTTTCCACCCACGCTGCTTGGGCATCCAGATGACTTATCAATCTATCTTCTTTTGCCTGTCTGATGTAGATCTCTGGATGCTCATCAAAGTTTCATCCACTTAAGTCCCACATTTGGCCTTTTTCTTGGTCATGAACTCTTGTTTGGTTTTCTTCTTGGTCATGACTTCTTGTCTGGCTTTTTCTGGTAATGACCTCTTGTCTACTCAGCATGACTCACAAAATAGGCTGTCGTTAGGTTTGGGCATCGAGCCACCTAGCAGTCATACCAGTGATCTGTTAGACTGTTCTGATTTCAACTCATTTTAAAGCCTAAATCCCCAGTTGGCAACTCTGTGGCAAAAGGAGGAAAAAATAACTTCTTTTCTTGTGTGGCTCCGGAAGGTACGTGTACTTCTGGTTTGAAAGGAATTAGAATTTATAAGATGATACTACCATGCATAATTGTGACATGCTAATGTGTTTTCTTTAAGCAGAAATTAACAGTCCTTCACTGTGGTATAGGACAGAGAAAACAAATGTGAAGAGGTAGTATTTCACTGTTCCCAGCCAGCCAAAAATATGATCATGTTGATTGTTGAATTTATCCACTTTTATTACTGATAGTTAGTAGGCTTCCTCAAAGATCACTTAGTTTAGTTGTCAAAACCATTGCCTCTCTGAAGTAGTAATGCTGAGAGATGGTCATGCTGGATCTTTAGGGTGAGAGGTACCTACCCAGTTCTTTCATAGCACGTCCCGTGTTCTTCGTTACCCTCCTTAATAACATCTACAAAACAAAAGAAATGTTATCCCCGTTGGAAAGTAAATGTTACAAAAATATCTTTATATTTGCAACTGATGAATTTTTAACGTAAATTAATAACTTTAAAGAGAAATATGATGGAGATCTTTTCAGGAATTAGAATTGAATTTTGTGCTGTGAATTTTATTTTACGCCAGCAAGTGTGGTGGAGAGGGTAAAAAGTGGCATTACCCAGACCGATTTTGAGAAGCCTAAAGATGAGTCATATCTTTTTTCTTAAAGTAGCTTCCTTTAAGATACTATTGATTCTGAAAAATGCAGGCATGCTAGGTACTTTCCCATTCGACTTCTGACAGCCTTCAAATTTGGGAAATAGGGGTGGCATTCAACCTTAAATGAGGTAGTTTTAGCCAAACTATGTGAGAGCAGAAATGATGACTAAAACTGGCCAACATCTTAGAGATTCAAGCCCTTTTGTATTTTCTACTGTGTATCCTTAAGTTACAGTGCTAAATATGAGTGGTTAGAAAAGGTAACAAAATTCCAGAAAATAATTTTAAAGTTATAGGCAGTGAAGAGAGAAAAAATACTGCTCTTTGTGTTCTACTACATACTGAATGCTCAATATTTTCAACTACAAAGATTTGGGCATATAACACATAGCATTTAAATGTTCTAAATTACCTTGAAAGGTGATCATTTAATTCCACACGACTGGCAAGCTTGTGGGCACATATCAATGTTAATCTGCCTCAATAGAGAAAATAGAAAACAAGATCTAGAACTTTGAGGTCCTAGAATCTTCTTTGCTGTTTACTAGCTATGTATGTGACTAGACATAATCATTTAACCTCTCTTGGTTTCATTTTTCTCATCTGTGTGACAGAATTAGACAAGGTTTCCCTCTAAATAAGTTACTGGTTCTTCTTTCTACTTGCCAGATCCCCATCCTTTACTTCTTTTATTCACTGTGGAAAAATCAGGGATAGAGAGAAATAGAAGGAGCCTTTGGAAATGATGAGTTAGATCTGTTTGCTCAACAGTGCCATCACTTCTCATCCTCCAGTGTTTCCTATTTAATGCATCTGTAGCCTGACAGATCCTGGAACTTGCATTGAGAAAAGCTGACAACTGCATGTGGGTTTCGTGACAGCTCCACAAGAATCAAAAGGTGTGTTCCAAAACCCTCATAACTTGTTAATACGGTACACACACTGCAGTGAGGAGCCATTTGAGTAATCTAAATGTAGACTATTTTAAGTTTTTACAGAAATTTCTTAGCAAACCAGGAGTCAAAGATCACACCTACATACATAGGCAGAAGATATGATGAGTGAGGGTAACTGAGGGATGGGGGAAATAAACACTCTTCTTGGTATTTAAAGTTTTCCTCACCTGTTTAATCTGTTTAGAACTTGCAATCTTATCAATTATAGTCATTATGTCTGCTTCGCCTTGGACATACCCTTTTAGGATAGCATACCTAAAGGACAGCTGATGACTCATATTTTTGTCTATTACTTGCAGCAACTTTGGTGTCACGAGCTGAAAAAACAGGACTGCTGTTTAACACAAATTGTACAAGTTTTAGTTGATTTTATGTTGGTTAGTTTAACTAAGGTAAGTAATAATAGAAAATGATATGCTGTCAATGGTAACTATAGTAACTGGTCAGGATTTTTAGTTATTTTGTTTCTAGTATCTCTATAACTTCGTGGCTAGAGCAATTTCCTCATAACTGATAATATCAGACTCCTTTGTAAGTTATGATTTATTCTTTACTTATTTCTCTTAGAGAATTGCATGCTATTTTCACCTGGTTCAAATCCTTGAAAAACATGTGATTACTCTTCTGGGCCTAGGTCATAAAATGACTGTCTATGAAGTACTGCCACTTTTACCTGCTAAACCTCCTCCTAACCTTCTCACTAGATGGTTCATTTGGGTTTGAGCCCACTGCAGCTATACTCCTTATTTGACCCCACCATTAATTTCTAGTTGTTTTTTCGCTAAGTTTTAAGTCTCCAGGTTATCTGTTACCACTGTACAGTCCCCTAACTTCAGCAGAGTTGGCTCGTCCCTATGTTTTCCTCTCTGTGCTCCACAGTCTCCACATTCATATAGAAAATAAATAACTACCCATTATTCTTGCTATAGAAAGACATACTAGACAATCCAAGGTCATTTTTGATGCTGTGATTCTATAATACTATGAATTCATATAACACAAAATGTGTATTTTTTTGGTTTCTTAATGTATATGAATGTATACTATTTGCTTTATCAATATGAATGGCGTGTACAGTTTGTTTTGTTGATTCTGTCTTTTATTTTTGGTATTCATAAGAATAAACATTACTTTGGGGTTAATTTGTACTTACACTAATACATATTTTTTTATGTGCTCTCTACTCAAAGGAAAAGCTGTGATGAATATTTCTGTACTTTCATGTGCTAAAAGAATTTCTAATGTAATTTGAATATTCATAATGGTATGTTATAAAACTTAATTTGTCAAAGAGATCTAAAATTTAAAATTTAAGCATCATTCCAACAGAAAGTGGAAGCCACAAAACTGATAAATTGATTTTAGTCTTTATTATGTGAAGCAGTCAGGAGTAATTTGCAACTGCATGAATTTAATAGTTCTTTACCTTCAAAATGCGTAGAATGCGAAGAAATCGAACAATTTTTATAAAAACCACAGTTTGAATCAAATAAAAACTTGAGTTAGTAGCATTTGTCTCAATAAGCATTACATCTATGATGCCAACTAATGTAACTGTTAACTCAAATAGGTTCCAGGCATGTAAAAAATACTCTTTCCTCATTGCTGCTACCTGTTGATTTAAAAAGAAATTGCATTACCTTACTTGTTTTTGCTTTTAGAACACCACTTTCCATAATAATTAAAACATTGCTAGTTAGCGTTTTCTCTGATCTACCTTCAGACTCCTTTTTTTGAAATACTAGTAAGTGGTCATATCAACTTGAAATTTAATTGTTAAAATATTGAAGCATCTCCTCCAATGGAGAAAATATTCAAAATATCTATTCTTTTATGATAGTTCACTCATTCTTTCTTTATTAAAAAAAAAGGTTTTATTGAAAAACTACTATAGCTAAGCGAATAGTAGCTATCAAAGATGACTGTGGATTCCAGCCTGAGAAACCGGGCTTCCAGTGGAATTTTAAAGCAAGAGTAGATTTAGAGGCATCAAATTTGTTCTGAATATGCTGTTTGGGATGTTAGCACAGTATTTTGTTGTAGAGATCCAGTCATCAGTGGTCTTTGTGATCTGAGGCTCTGGATAAAATCTGAGCTGGAGCCATGGTTTGGGGAGTCGTTAGGCTGTGAATGGTCGTTGGTGGCAGGGAAGTGGCTGAGACAGCATGGCCCACAAGACCTGTTGTTTAATTCACATCTATATCTCCTGTCTCCTGTGTGGAGGATATGGAAAAATCTTCTGATTTAACATCTCTGCAGTCTCCATCCTGACCAACCCATCCCCAGGCTCCTGTCATTAGGAATAATGCTATTTGTCACACCATTGCTTCTAACTTTTCCCTTGCTCTTTTCGTCCGTGCTGCATACTCACATCCTCAATCTCTACTTTGACTCCTATTCATTATTCAAATTCAGCTCAAGCATCTCCTTTCCTTGATAGCCTTCCTTCTCTGACCCTACTATTCTGTGTAAAGAACTGGTTTTTTTTTTCCCATAGCGCCGTGTATTTCTCTATTATAATACTTAAGATACTAACTTGTAATTTTGATTAATTTGGCTTTTTTAGCAGCCTGATTCCCCTACTTACTGTGATTCAGAGGAAGTATAGGAGACAGACACATTTAGGCCAGAAAAGCACATGTGCCATTGTAAGTTAAGAGATTGTCATACTTTGTGGGGGTTTTTCTTGAGGAGGGGTATAATTAGGTTTATTTATTTATTTATTTAATAAAGGTACTGGGGATTGAACCCAGGTCCTTGTGCATGCACACTCTACCACTGAGCTATATCCTCCCCTGCGACCATAACTTGTTTATAAACCAACTCCTGTGTGCTTAGTGGTAGAGGGTCAGTTCCCTTGAATCTGCTCATATTTGGCAGGGCTGAGGAAATTCAATGTCTAAATTTAGAAAGTAGAAGACCAGATCCTGGTCTTACTAGGTCCTGCTCAAGGCACAGTTTAGCTCCTACAGATGCTTCATTTCATTCTTATTGAAACAGAGCATAGGCTGTATCATTTTCTTAGGAATGTGAAAAAACTGGTATAACGAGTATGACCTTATCCAGATACCAAGTATTCAGACACATGAAGGAATTATTTGAAGGTCAGTAGAATACAGCCACAGGAAAAGAAGAGCTTGGTGTAAAAGGCTAGTGTAGGCTTCAAAGGAAGAGGGGCTTGTTGAATATATGGCTGTAAAAGGCTGGTTGGAAGCTCTGGTAATGGAAGCCTGTGGCATTCAGATGCAGAAGAGTCATTACCTTCTTCTGAGAAAGTTTCCAAAGACCCATCACACTAATAGGTTGAGGAGTGTTTGAGGGAAAGTTTGAAAATACAAAAAGGAAAGTTAAAGCATAATTGTATATTAGAAAGAAGACAAAGTTTGAGGGATTGGATCCTAACTCTACTATTCATGAGCTATGTGACTTTAAAGAAGTTACACAATTTATCAGAGACTTGGGTCCCGCTCCTGTAAAATGCACGGCATAGTGTCTACATTAAAGGGTTAATTTAATGATTTGAAATGTTGTAATCAAAATGACTGGTACCTTATGGGTGATCATTTATTATTACTGTTATTAACATGATATTTAAAAAGGCACAGTACAAAGGGGCAAAATTCAACTAAAAAGAAAAGATGTTGAAGGATATGATACGTGAAGGCAAGCATGCAAATAGGGCAGCGAAGATGAATGTTGAGTTAAATAGAAGGGAGAGACAAGAACAGCAGTGCACAGCTGGGAGTATCCTCTCAGTACAGAGTGTAATGGTGTCTTTGTGGTCCTGCTCTGCTGTCTTAAGTGGACCTACTGAATGGAGCTATGGCTGTGCACAGCTATGATAGCAGCTTAAACCTGGCAAAGCACAGAGACAACAGAGCTAGAAGGATCTTTATCTATCATTTAGGCCAACTGTGACGTTTCATAGAAGAAATTGAGATTGGGAAAAGTGGAGTAACGTGGTAAACAGCTAACAGGCTTGTCAGAGAAAACCGAAACCAGAATCAATTCTGCTGTACCCCAGCTCAGTGCTCTTTCTGTGACAGTACGTATTATATGATTTTAGGGAACGCTTGACTCTCACCCGCACCCAAGTACCTAACCCTAACCCTAATTGTTTTATTTCTTCTTAATTATGTGGCCTCTCCCATGGTCTTTACAACTAACCTGGAATTTATGACACACAATGTGATTGAATAGGAATTCATTCCCCTCCCCTCACAAATCATAACTCTGCAGTAGCATTTTAATTTTCCACTAAAGATTGAAGATTCATCTATTTTGTCTACATAAATATAATTCTTCTATTTAAATCTCTGGCTTAAAACGTTTTATATTACAACTTGATCTACTATGAAACAATACTATTATCAATTTGTGGGCATACATTTCCATCATTTAACAACTACCTTTATATTGGATTTAAAAAAATCAAATTAGAAAATGTTTTTCAAGTATAAATGAATCTCTGTCATCTACATTTTCATCTGTTTGTCTACCTAGTATTAAAAATAATAAAATGAACATCCATGTGCTCACCATCTTGCTAAGTTGAAGAACATTATCAATACCTTTGTAACCCACTCTGTGTCCCCTTGACACACTATTTTAAAGTTTATTTTTGCAAATAAAAATCAGTCCTTAAAGTATGAATATTTTCTAAAATACCCAAAAAATCACCTTTAAAAATGAAAGTTTATTTGTTTGAAAAGTGAGAGAGAATTTTGTAGAAAACGGACTGCAGTTAGTGTTGAAAAATGAAATTGAGAAATCTCCCTGTTAGACATATAACACACACACACACACACACACACACACATTTTAGATTACCTTAAGTAAGGCCTCCACAATATAAAATGCAAGAAAAAAGTAGTTAGCATGTCTTAATTCATCCTCATAGATAACATTTAACCCAGGTATCCAAGAAATTATAATAGGAAATATATTCATTAGTGTTACAAGGTATCCGACGTACTCAAATTCATCAGCAAATACTATTTTATGGCATCCACGAAGAAAGCAATGTCTGTAAAAAAAAAAAAGATAGTTTTATCTGATAAAAAATTACACTGAATTATTTTAATTGTATGCTTAGTTCTGTTTAATCATCAATAGCTACAGAGTCCAGCTTAATTCTGAGAAGTAGCCATCACTTCCAGGCACTTTCTGGCATCCTACTTTCGGTACTGTCCCTTTAATTTCCTCCTCTGCTAGATGTCTCCAGGCTGGCTTTCCCTCTTTCCTTCTGACTTTCCTCACCTCACCTCTTACTCATTTTTACTTATACTTTTAATACAAATATTTTAGGTCGTAAGACAGGGATATTTCAAATTGGAAATATTAAGAACAAAAAGCAAAAATCCCTCCCACCTTCTAGCAATTCCACTTCTCAGAGATGACTACTATTACTAGCTTGAATATTGTTCCAGTCTTTTCGTTTATATAATCATTATCTAAAAATGCAAAAGGAATTATATTATACGTATTATTCTATAACCTATTTTTTCCTTTTAGCAGTGTTATCAGGAGCATTTTTCCTTGTCAAAGCCTGTAATCTGGAACAAATCCCAGGATGTTTGGTAGTAGAACAGGATGCATCCACATTTTATCAAAAAATATAAATTAATGTATATGCTTTAAAAACTACTTCCATACTGAGTGTGCTAGAGAGTGGAATTGTGGGTGAGAGGATTTACTTAATGTGTTTTTAATTTTATTTTTAAATTATTCACACAGTATAATAATGCATTATTATTGCTAAAACTCAAATGAAATGATTAATCAATTATTGATTAGAGTGGGTAAGTGTTGGATTCCTTAGCTATTCTTAGAAAAAGAAAATAAAACTATGACTACATCTAAGATCCTGTCATCAAATTGCAGAAACCCTCCAAGGCCTCAGGCAGTGCCAGTGAGAGAGAAGCCCTAGAGTGTAAGCCTTGTTAACTTCATGGTAACACTGCCTTTGCCCTTCTCAGCCCTCTCTCCAGACAGTTTTCTCTTTCTTTTTTAAAAAAAATTTCAGCCATATTGAGGTATAATTGACATACAAAATTGTAGACATTTGAAGGGTACATCATAGTGGTTTGATACACATATACACTGTGAAAGGAGTCCCTCATCTAGTTAATTAACACATTCATTAAGATTGCACAGAATTCTTTTTTTTGAGGTGCAACCATTTAAGCTCTACTCTCTAGCAAATTTCAATTACAAAATTGTTCTCAGTTATAGTCGCCATGTCTTTCATTAGCTCTTCAGACCTTATTCACCTTATGACAGTTTGTAACCTTTTACCAACCTCTCTTTATTTCCTCAACCCCTCAGGTCCTGTAACTGATTTTTACTGTTCCCATGAGTTGACTCTTTAAAAATCTGAATTGGTTTATTAGTTCTAACAGGTTTTGGTAGGGTCCTTATATATATATGAAATTATCATGTCATCTGCAAATAAAGACACATAACTTCTTCCCTTCTGTGTGGATAATTTTCTTTCTTTCTTTGCCTAATTTCTCTTTCAGGACTATGTTAAATAAAATTGATAAGGAGAGATACCCTTGTCTTGTTTCTGGTCTTAGAGGAAAAGCTTTCTGTCTTTCATAATTGACTATATTGTTCACTGTGAAACTGTCATATATGGCCTTTATTATATTGAGATATGCTTCAACTTTACCCAGTTTGTTGAGTTTTTAATCATAAATGGATGTTGAATTTTTTCAAATTCTCTTTCTGCATCTATTGGTATGATCATATGATTTTTCATAAGTTGTATGATTCTATTTATATGAAATATCTGAAATAGGTAAATTCATAGAGGCAGAAAGCAGACTAGTGCTATTCAGGAGCTGGAGTAGGGTAAGTGGAAATGAGAATGACTGCTTAATGGGTACTGGGTTTATATTTAGGGCAATGAAAATGTTGTGGAATTTGATAGAGGTGATGGCTGCTCAACACTGTGAATGTACTAGGTAACACTGTATGGTATGCTTAAAAATGGTTAATGATTCATCCTCTTATGTGAAATTTACCTCAATAATAAAAGTTATAACACTATATCTTTTTTCTTTAAGTAACTTTTTATATGTATGTAAATAATTGAGTTGTAAACTACCTCAGGTATTTTGCAAAGTGTTCAGAATATAAATTTTCAAAGAACAATACAAAGGAAATTTCAAATGAATACAACAGTATTTCTGGTAAGGTTCAAAGCACTTACCTTGATGGTATCCCTTTTTCCTTTTTTGTATTATACACCCAATTGAGCAATACTTTTCTAGTAAAGACAAGAATTTTTTTGCTTTCAAAATAATTCTTTATGGTATCAGCATTAATATATCTAAAAAAAGACAAATTTTAAAAAAATACTTTAAAA